TCCAAACACCTTCCCTCCCACCAGAGCAGAAGGGGCTATTTTACAATTTTTCAAGCCTGACCTGACCCCAGAGCCAGACTCTCTACTCAGACCCTCAGAGGCCCAGCTCCTTCCTCTGCATGACAAAGGGTGGCTGCCGTCCTTCCTGACAACTAATCAGCCCATTGTAAAAAGTCTCCTAATCCACATTCGAGCTCTTCTTTTGGCCGCTAGCTAATTGCCCAATTATTTTATTTTCCCAGCAATACTTTTCAGGCTGCTGGGAATCCACATTTAGGACCCAGGCCTGTGTCTTGGGGTTAAGAGTCTGAAGGATTTGGCCTTTGTCTGTTTGTCTGTTTCTCACGCCTCCCTGCCCCCCTCCCAGACCCGACCCTGGATTGACTGAGTCCCCAGCTTGCCTGGGAATGACAGATGACCCCACTGGCTTCAGGGGGTCAGGGCAGGACTGGGCACTGGAAATAGTTTGAGGGCATGGAAAGAACTTTGATCTGGGAATGGGAAGACCTGACTTTGTGGGGATACTGATTATCGATCATCGACTGTGTGTGCTTGGGGAACTTGTCTTCTCTCTGAGCCTCAGTTTTCTTTTTTCTTTCTTTTTTTTTGTTGAGACGGAGTTTCGCTCTTGTTGCCCAGGCTGGAGTGCAATGGCGTGATCTTGGCTCACCGCAACCTCCGCCTCCTGGGTTCAGGCAATTCTCCTGCCTCAGCCTCCTGAGTAGCTGGGATTACAGGCACGCGCCACCATGCCCAGCTAATTTTTTGTAATTTTAGTAGAGACGGGGTTTCACCGTGTTGACCAGGATGGTCTCGATCTCTTGACCTCGTGATCCACCCGCCTCGGCCTCCCAAAGTGCTGCGATTACAGGCTTGAGCCACCGCGCCCGGCCCGGTTTTCTTTTTTCTAAAGCCCGGGGTCAGGAGAGTGGCCTGGATAGTCAGTTTCAGCGCTAAGCTCTCTTTGATTCTACAAACTAGCAGGTGAAAGAAAGAGGGTAAGTCGTCTTGGTGGACAAACTCCTCCATTGGTGCTAAATATTCCCAGGCTCCTCCACCTAAGAGAGGTCCCGTAACGTCAGGAAGGGATCTCAGTTTCCCAATCATGGGTCACTTGCTTAGGCTCCCAGTGGTCCCCAGGGCTACCCTGAGCACCACATCCCAGACACCCATCCCTGCAGGCAGGTCCTTAGAGAGGCTGGATAATGACTGTGTCGTTTCACTTCCTGTTGAGGGCTCTGCTCTGGTTTTGGTCCTGTGCTGAGAGGCTGATCCAGAAATACCAGTAAGACAGCTGGGGGAGACGGGGAATCAAGAAGTGGGTGTGTGTGTGTGGGGGGGGGTCCCTCCACTTTACTGTCTTCTCTGGAAATGTTTCAATTTGTCTGCTCTGTTACCCCAGGTGTAGAAGGAACTCCTGACTCCCCAGGGACTTCCAGAGGTTCTCAGCCCTGTGGTGGTTCCTAGCTGGGAGAGAGTCCTGAGTGGGCCTCCGCAGGTCAGGGAGCAGCAGCACCAGAGGCCTGGCCTCCCTCAGCCCTGGAGCAGCAGGTCCCTGCTAAACAAGAACAGGGGCCTGCAAGGTCTCATTGTGAGCATCCAGCCTCAGGGAGCTCCCAGTGGGTCTAGATGTTGGGGATTTGGAGAGGGGGTAGTGACATGCAAGGACAGCCTGGGTGTTATATCCTTGGCGCCAGTGATAAGCCACAGGGCTCCTGTCGCCCAGCAGCCAGGGTAGTGGACTATTGCATATTTACCAGCCCAGAACAGCTTCCAGGGACTGAGGCCCACAGGTCCTGGTTTGCCTGTAAATGTGACACTTCTGCACCTTTTGGCCTGACTTAAGACCCAAATGTTTGCATCAAATAAGTCCTTTCCCCGTTAATCACTTGTAAAGAAAAGCAATCACTTCTCTTTTGAAGAAAGCTACCCTTGTCACAGAGAGCAGAAGGTCCTGTTTGGACCGGACACAGTGGTGGGACCTTATATTTCACGAAATGTTCAAACTATGGGAGATGAGTTCCAAGATGGGATTTGAATTCCTCCTTGTGAATTATACAAATTCCATGGAAACACAGATGGGAGAGAACAGGAAAGGGGAACAGAGAAGCAGCTGAGGTCATGATTCTGTGACCACAGGGGTCTCCTTTCCCCACCCCAGGGTCAGCTGTTAGGATTTATGTATTTCCTCTGTGGACACATGTGACCAAATCCCTGTTCCTTCCCTTCAGATACCTTGAGCTCTAGCACCTACTAGCTGGATGACCTTAGGCTAGTCAGGCAACAGTTTTGTTTGTTTGTTTGAGATGGAGTCCTGCTCTGTCGCCCAGGTTGGAGTGCAGTGGCACAATCTCAGCTCACTGCCACCTCTGCCTCCCGGGCTCAAGCGATTCTCCTGACTTAGCCTCCCGAGTACCTGGGACTACAGGCACGTGCCACCACAGCCATCTAATTTTTGTATTTTTAGTAGAGACAGGGTTTCATCATCTTGGCCATCCTGGTCTCAAACTCCTGACCTTGTGATCCACCCGTCTTGGCCTCCCAGAGTGCTGGAATAACAGGCGTGAGTCATACCACAACCAGCCCATTATGATTATTATCAGTATTATTATTATTATTATTATTATTATTATTATTTTTTTGGAGACGGAGTTTCGTTCTTGTTACCCAGGCTGGAGTGCAATGGCGCGATCTCGGCTCACCGCAACCTCTGCCTCCTGGGCTCAGGCAATTCTCCTGCCTCAGCCTCCTGAGTAGCTGGGATTACAGGCACGCGCCACCATGCCCAGCTAATTTTTTGTATTTTTAGTAGAGACGGGGTTTCACCATGTTGACCAGGATTGGTCTGGATCTCTTGACCTTGTGATCCACCCGCCTCGGCCTCCCAAAGTGCTGGGATTACAGGCTTGAGCCACCGCGCCCGGCCCATCAGTATTATTCTTACTCCTCCCCCTTCTCTGATGCTAAACACTCCCCCAGCACACACATTACTAAAAGCCCCTTCAGACAGCAGAATCATTCTGGGGTGTGCTTTCCCTATTAAGCTGGCAGACTGCCTCATGCCACCAGGACTCAGCTGGAGCCCAGGTCATTTCCAGACACAGAACAAGGGACAGGAATCTAGAAAGCAGAGGCCACAGCTGTCTAGAAGCATGGCCTGTCCAAAGCCACAGGTACTGGGGGCAAATTGAGGTGGGAGCCCCCCTCCCATGCCTCCTCAAACACACATTTTAGACTGGGTTCAAATATGAGACTTCCATATACATATACATATGCAAATGCACATGTATATGGTGGCAATTTGTGCATGAAATCCCTGGGCTTTCATCCCAAATAAATTCCACCTGTGAGCACCAGAAGATTCCCTCTTCCTCTGCCTGGAATGTTTGAGAACAGAAGCAGGGGGATGACATGAGAGACCTGTCAGTGACACAGCATTCCCACAAAGGAGCCAGAGTACCCCCACTTAGAAGGTGAAGGGGTATCTCCTTGCCCGCTGGCCCCCTCAGCCCAGGGTCCTTGACCTCTTCCACCATCCTTGCTTACCTTGCATGTGACAGAACATGGGCAAGTGAGGCTGTGGAGATTTGGGAAGAGCTTCCCCCTGCACATCCTCAAATGCCCCATGCCAGCGCCAGGAGGAGATGCCTACAGAGACAGACGCTGCATTTAGCTCCCAAGCCCTCCACTGAGGTTCGTGAGGAGGTCGCTTCTTCAGGCGGAACTCTGACATTCCATCTGAGAGATGCAACTGACGCTGACATCTGCCTCCTAAGGGCTGTGTGAATACACATTCTGAGCTTAGAACAATGACTGGCACATAGTGAGCACTCAGGAAATGTGTGCTATTATCGTTGTTGATAGTTTTAGACAAAGTCATGACCCTGTGAACGCAGATTTCAGGGACTAATCATGATAGGAAACCCTTACAGAGTGTTTACCTGTCACTAGACACTGGGTGGAGTGGCCTGCATGTATTAATGCATTTAATCTTCTTCCTAACCCTATGAAGATGACCTTATGATCATCACCCTCTTCTTGCAGATGGGGAAACTGAGGCACTGAGAAATTAAATAACTAGCTGACAGGTCAAACAGTTAGCAGGTCTCATGTTTGAACCCAGACAGTCTAAAATGTGTGTTTGAGGAGGCATGGGGGGGCTCCCACCTCAGTCTGCCCCCAGTACCTGTGGCTTTGGACAGGCCATGCCTCTGGGCAGCTCTGGCCTCTGCTTTCTAGGTTTCTGTCGCTCGTCTGTGTCTGGAAATGACCTGGGCTCCAGCTGAGTGCTGGTGACATGAACCAGCCAGCCAGCTAACTGGGGAGAGCTCACCCCAGCATGATTCTGCTGTCTGAAGGGGAGACTCCCATACTGTGGTCATGTGATTGCAAAGGTACTCGCAGAAATTGCTGTTCTGGGAGTCCCAGAAAGAGTACAGCTGCAAGACTTGTGTCCTGACAGTGTCTGGCATCCTCTATCATGGGGGGAGGACAAGGACAGTGAGACAACCCTGAGGGACCCCTGGTGCAGGGAGAGGCAAAGGGTGTGCAAGGACTGAGGGTTGGAGGGAGGTGACCAAGGGGCTTCTGTGAACGTAGCCAGAACCAGCAGGATGGCAGAGTCTTCCCTGCCCTTCCTTTATGATGCGCAAACCTGGACCCAGGCCAGCCTCCAGAAGAGACTTAAGAGCTTTAAGTAGCTGGCTAGCAGGACTTTCTTTTTCACTGAACAGCCTCACTTTTTCAGGGAACAGAGCTGGGGTAAGGACAGGGAAATTCAACAGGCACTAAAAATATTGTTGAGCTGCTGAAAGCACAGCCAGAGGCCTCAAGCCTGGGTGGCATCAGACAGCCCTGTCCTTTCTAGACAGCCCCCTCCTCCAGGCTCAGGGACCTGTCTAGCTGTGAGCTCCCAGGAGGTCCCAGGGGTGTGACCTCCCTGCCTCCCTCCCTCCCTTTCTCCCTCCCTCTTCTCTTTACCCCAGGCAAGCCCAGGGCTGGCTATAAAGCTGCCCAGGCCTGGCTCTCAGCACACCCAGCTGCCTGAGACCCTCCTTCCACCTCCTTAGAGGACAGCCCCACTCTGCCCCCCACTCCTTCAGGGCAGCACCATGCAGCCCCTGTGGCTCTGCTGGGCACTCTGGGTGCTGCCCCTGGCTGGCCCCGGGGCAACCCTGACCGGGGAGCAGCTCCTGGACAGCCTGCTGCAACAGCTGCAGCTCAGCGAGGTGCCCGTCCTGGACAGGGCCGACATGGAGGAGCTGGCCATCCCCACCCACGTGAGGGCCCAGTACGTGGCCCTGCTGCAGCGCAGCCACAGGGACCGCTCCCGAGGGAAGAGGTTCAGCCAGAGCTTCCGAGGTGAGGCCCTCCCTCCCTGCTGCCCCCCTGGTGGTGGGAGGCTGGCTGGTCGTGCCCACTCCAGTGGTGTCAAAGGGCCCCTGGTCTTTTGGGACTCGGTGGGAGACTGTGTGGGGGCCACAGTGCAAAGGGCAGTAAGGATGGGCCGGGCCTGGGCCCGGGGTCTCCAGCTGTGCACTGAGGGTCCCGTTTGTCCCCCAAGGTGCACCAGGCTGGAGCTGCTGAAGAAACCAAGGCATGGGAGAAGGGGAGGGTAGAGGAGAGAAGCGGAGCTGGGGGAGCAGCTGAGTGTGTGCCTCAAAGCGCTTGGTGCAGCTGGACACCTGGGTCTGTTTTCACACTGCCACTCTGGTCTGAGCCCGATCTTGAGTAAATGGCTTTAAATCCCTGTCTCTGCCATGTGCTCCTCTGGAACGGGAGTATGACTTCGTCTTAGCCATCTCCCAGCTTTGTTAGCATCAAAGTGAGTCCTTGTGGATAGAAGCGTGTTGGGATAACTGAAAAATACCTACGGGAAATACCTGGGTTATACTTGGCTGTCAGGGGTGCACCTGGGCCTGAATCCTCCTGCAGCCTCTCACCTCCCCAGCTCCTCAGTGCCCAGAGCTAGACCCCAGGCCAGGCACCTGGGTGAGGATTCTGCTCTCAGCGTCTCAGCTGCGGCAGGCTTGCTAGCACAGGTCCCGCAGGCGTCCCCGCCTGCCAGATGGAGATTGTTACTAAACAACCCCAGATTCAAGGGAGATTTTTAAACTGGGTTTGCCCCAGAGATACAACAGGGACCTGTGTCTCCTGGTCTGGCTGCCAGCTCAGTGGCCCCTGCCACCCTCAGGAGCTCCCCTGGAGTCCGGGAGGCCCTGCTGACCCCGCTGACCCCGCTCTTGTCCGCAGAGGTGGCCGGCAGGTTCCTGGCGTCCGAGGCCAGCACGCACCTGCTGGTGTTCAGCATGGAGCAGCGGCTGCCGCCCAACCGCGAGCTGGTGCAGGCCGTGCTGCGGCTCTTCCAGGAGCCGGTCCCGAGGACCGCGCCGCACAGGCACGGGCGGCTGTCCCCGCGCAGCGACCGGGCCCGGGTCACCGTCGAGTGGCTGAGCGTCCGCGACGACGGCTCCAACCGCACCTCCCTCATCGACTCCAGGTGGGGGTCGCGCGGAAGCGCAGAGCAGGGCGAGGGGGCTGCTCGGCCCGGCTTGGGGGCGGGGACGCGCGGGGCGGCGCGGGGTCCTCAGCCCGTTCCAGTCCCCGCCCTCACGCGGCGCTGGGTCTCCGTGTCGTGTGTGTCGTGTCCTCAGGCTGGTGTCCGTCCACGAGAGCGGCTGGAAGGCCTTCGACGTGACCGAAGCCGTGAACTTCTGGCAGCAGCTGAGCCGGCCCCGGCAGCCGCTGCTGCTGCAGGTGTCGGTGCAGAGGGAGCACCTGGGCCCGGGGGCGTCGGAAGCCCACAGGCTGGTCCGCTTCGCCTCTCAGGGGACGCCGGCGGGGCGTGGGGAGCCCCAGCTGGAGCTGCACACCCTGGACCTCAGGGACTACGGGTAGGTGCCGGACTGGGGAGACCAGAGACAAGCAGCCACTGGGTCGTCCAGACCCCTGTCCCTAGGACTGGCTGGGTGACCGGATGGCTGGGTTGGGGGTGGGAGGACAGCGGTGCATACTGTCCCAGGATGCCACCGGTTATCCACTACATGTCAGGGTTTCTAATGGTAGAAATTGTGTTATTCAGGCCGGGCACAGTGGCTCAGGCCTGTAATCCCAACACTTTGGGAAGGCGAGACCGGTGAATCACCTGAGGTCAGGAGTTCCAGACCAGCCTGGGTGACATGGTGAAACCCCGTCTCTACTAAAAATGCAAAAATTAGCTGGGCATCATGGCAGGTGCTTGTAATCCCATCTACTCAGGAGGCTGAGGCAGGAGAATTGCTTGAACCCAGGAGGCAGAGGTTGCAGTGAGCTGAGATGGCAACATTGCACTCCAGCCTGGGCAACAAGAGCAAAACCCATCTCAAAATAAATAAATAAATAAATAAAAAGGCCAGGCACGGTGACTCACGCCTGTGATCCCAACAGTTTGGGAGGGCGAGACTGGCGAATCACCTGAGGTCAGGAGTTCCAGACCAGCCTGGCTAACAGGGTGAAACCCCTGTCTCTATTAAAGAAGGAAGGAAGGGAGGGAGGGAGGGAGGGAGGGAGGGAGGAAGGAAGTTGTATTATTCATTTTATTGAAAAATGTATTTGATAATTTTTAATGGATTTTTATGTTGCCATTGACTCATACACACAATTGTAATTATCTACTTTCACTTTACCCTTCTCCATGATTAAGTCTTTGAAAAATCCTACCTTTAGTTGTTGCTAAGGATGAACAGCTTTCCTCCTGCTTTGATGAATTCTTTTCTCATGGACAAATTAGCTCTCTGGAGCAGACAGGGCTGCGTAGCACAGTGGTTAAGAAGAAGCCTTGGAACCAGACCTGGCTTCCATCTAGCTCTGCCTTCTGCTGGCTGCAGGTCCTCTGGCACATCACCAAACACTCTGGGTCTCAGTGGCCTCAGGTGAAATGCGGATAATGGTGGAACCTACCTGAGGATGAAATGCAGACATAACCTGAGATAATACATGTAAAGTACCTAGTTCAATGTCTGGCCTATTAGGAGACCTTTAATTAATAGTAGCTGATTTATTATTTATGTTTCAGATATGTTTATTAATTCGTCTTCTCATAAATATCCAGCTTTTAGAACACAGTGAGAGCTGGAACTCCCAGGCACCCACTAAGCTGTACCCTAGGATTTCTGACCTCAGCCTTCACAGCTGACCTCTTACCCTGCCTGTTCTTGCCCCCACAGAGCTCAGGGTGACTGTGACCGTGAAGCACCAGTGACCGAGGGCACCCGCTGCTGCCGCCAGGAAATGTACATTGATCTGCAGGGAATGAAGTGGGCGGAGAACTGGGTGCTGGAGCCCCCGGGCTTCCTGGCTTATGAGTGTGTGGGCACCTGCCAGCAACCCCCGGAGGCCCTGGCCTTCAAGTGGCCGGTTCTGGGGCCACGACAGTGCATCGCCTCAGAGACTGCCTCACTGCCCATGATTGTCAGCATCAAGGAGGGAGGCAGGACCAGGCCCCAGGTGGTCAGCCTGCCCAACATGAGGGTGCAGAAGTGCAGCTGTGCCTCAGATGGGGCGCTGGTGCCAAGGAGGCTCCAGCCGTAGGCACCTGGTGTAACCACTGAGCCTTGTAACTGAACATGTGCATAGAAGTGGTCTTAATGTAGGTATTAATTTTAAACTTAGCAAGTTACCTCCCTCCCAATTTAGTGCTCCTGTATGACCTTTGCCCTGTGTCCTTCCCTCTCCCGTCTTTCCTGTCCATCGCCCATCCTAAGCACTTACGTGAGTAAATAATGCAGCTCAGATGCTGAGCGCTAGTGGGAAATGCTGGCCTGCTGATTAGAAGATACAGCTGAGCAATGCACAGATTGTCAACTGGGAGAGTCTGTTCTCTGGCAAATTCTTAACTGAGTCTGGAACAATACCCTATGATTAGAACTGGGGAAATAGAACTGATTTGCTCTCTTATATGAAGAATTAAAATCCCCAAATCTCTATTTCCCCAAAATACTGGCCCATTCTGGTCTTTTGTAAACATACCTATGCCCCTGTTCCCCTGAAAGGTGCTAAGAGGAAGGATGAAGGGCTTCAGGTTGGGCACAGTGGACAGGGAGTCGGGATGCCTGGTTTCTGGATCTGACAGGGCCATAAGCTAGAACCTCAAACAAACACAGGAGGCTTTAGGTCATCATTTCCTCTTAAAAAGGAGGAGCTGGGCTTCAGCTCTAAGACTTCATTGTCTTGGGGATCAGACAGCCCCTACCTGCCCCCTGCCCACCCCTCTGGAGACCGAGCCTTGCCTGTGGACATTTAGATCATGTCCCCCACTGTCTTTGAGAACTTGTCACCAGAAACCATATGTATTTCTGTGTTTTTGTTAATTTAGGCAAAGCAATTGAATGTAGATACTCAGAAGAAATAAAAAGTGATGTTTTACTCTGTATCTCTGTATTTAATCTCCAGGAGCAATAATGGGGAATGAGAGCAACATAATGATCTGAAGAAAGGACCCCCAACTTCTAGGGAGCACTGAAGACTATAACAACTAAATTTGGATGAGGTTTTCATTTATGATATTTCTATTTTCCCACACAACTCTCATTCCAAAAATAGTAAACAATCACTCACATATGACTCCTCTTTAGTATACGTGCTGCCAAACTGAGCACTGCAGCCTCTTTTTTTTTTTTTTTTTTTTTTTGAGACAGTCTCTCTTTGTCACCCAGGCTGGAGTGCGGCAGTACAATCTTGGCTCACTGCAACCTCTATCTCTCAGGTTCAAGCAATTCTCATGCCTCAGCCTCCAGAGTAGCTTTGATTACAGGAATGTGTCACCATGCCTGGCTATTTTTTTTTTTTTTTTTGAAATGGTGTCTTGCTCTGTTGCCCATGCCAGAGTACAGTGGTACGATCTCAGCTCACTGCAACCTCTGCCTCCCAGGTTCAAGCAATTTTCCTGCCTCAGGCTCCAGAATAGCTGGGACTATAGGCGTGCACCACCATGGCCAGCTAATATTTTAATTTTTTTTTTTTAATAGTAAAGATGGGGTTTTACTATCTTGGTCAAGCTGGTCTTGAACTCCTGACCTCAGATGATCTGCCTGCCTCGGCCTCCCAAACTGCTGGGATTATAGGCATGAGCCACTGCACCCAGCCTAATGTGTTTTTTTTTTTTGAGTCAGAGTCTCGCTCTGTCACCTAGGCTGGAGTGCAATGGCGCTAGTGTGGCTCACTGAAACCTCTGCCTCCTGGATTCAAGTGATTCTCCTGCCTCACCCTCCCAGGTAGCTGGGATTATAGGTGCCCACCACCATGTCCAGCGAATTTTAAAAAATATTTTTAGTAGAGATGGGGTTTCACCATATTGGTCAGGCTGGTCTCTTGGCCAGGCTGGTCTTGAACTCTAGATCTCAAGTGATCTGCCTACCTCACCCTCCCAAAGTGCTGGGATTATAGGCATGAGCCACTGTGCCCAGCCTGCCTCCTCTTTAGAAAGCACTGTAACAACTAATAGTGGTGATGGGCAACAGGGGTTGACAGTAGGGTGGTAAGCAAGCTAACGTTTCTTGAGCATTCACTATGAATCAGGGAGCTGGGCTAGGCATTGACACATATGTCACTTAATTCTTGCAGCTATCCCATGAAGTAGGTATCATTATTCCTATTTTTTTAGATGAAGAAACAGCCTGAGGTAATGCAAGTGTGTTGAATCTCTTCCATAGAATGGATTATAAACACCTTCCCATGCCAGTCCCCCATAAGCTGCTCTGCTGATGACACAGGCATTCGGTTAAAATGTCATTGGGAGCTATCTTATCCAATTCCCCTCCATTTAGCTTTCCCATTCAGCTGGGTTTCCTTATGCTTGTCTGTGGAGAAAGTTATACAGTCATGTACCACAGAATGATGGTTTGGTCAATGACAAACCACATATACAATGGTGGTCCCATAAGATTACAATGGAGCTGAAAAATTGCTATAGTCCAGTGACATAAAAGTCATTATAATGTCCTAGCACAACCTATTACTCATGTGTTTGTGGTGATGCTGATATAAACACACCTACTCTGCTGCCAGTTGTATAAAAACACAGCACATGCTAGGCCTGGTTTGGTGGCTCACACCTGTAATCCCAGCACTTTGGGAGGCTGAGACCGGTGGATCACCTGAGGTCAGGAGTTCAAGACCAGCATGACCAATATGGTGAAACCCTATCTCTACTAAAAATACAAAACTTAGCCAGGTGTGGTGGCACATGCCTTTAGTCTCAGATACTCAGGAGGCTAAGGCAGGAGAACCTGGGAGGTGGAGGTTGCAGTTAGCTGAGAATGTACCACTGCACTTCAGCCTGAGCAAAAATAAAATAAAACATAGTGCATGCAATTATTTACAGTACATAATACTTGATAACTGACTGTTACTGTTATGTATTTACTATACCTTATATTATTTTAGAGTACTCTTTCTACTTATTAAAAAAATAAGTTAACTGTAAAACGGGCTCAGCCTGTAAGCCCAGCCCTTTGGGAGGCCAAGGCAGGTGGATCACGGGGTCAGGAGTTCAAGACCAGCCTGGCCAAGATGGTGAAACCCTGTCTCAACTAAAAAAACAAATTGGTCTCTATAGCCCAGAAAAAAAAGAAAAGAAAAAACAAAAACAAAAATTAGCTGGGTGTGATGGTGGGTGCCTGTAATGTGGTGGTGGGTCCCTAGCTACTAGGGAGGCTGAGGCCAGGAGAATCATTTGAACTCAGGAGGCAGAGGTTGCAGCAAGCCGAGATCACGCCATTGCACTCCAGCTTAGACAATAAGAGCGAAATTCCATCTCAAAAAAAAAAAAGATAATTTTGAATGTATTAAAAACCACTCATAATTCCACCATCCTAAAGCAAAATTATTTTAGTTTTTGCATATCACCTGTTTACATGCTGCATGAGTACATACTTATTTTAAAAATCAAGGTTTTGGGGCCAGGTGTGGTGGCTCACACTTGTAATTCCAGCAGTTCGGGAGGCCAACGCAGGCAGATCACAAGGTTCAGGAGTTCAAGACCAGCTTGACCAACATAGTGAAACCCCATCTCTACTGAAAATACAAAATTAGCCGGGCATAGTGGTATGTGCCTGTAATCCCAGCTACTCAGGAGGCTGAGGGAGGAGAATCACTTGAATCCGAAGGTGGAGGTCGCAGTGAGCTGAGATTGCGCCACTGCACTCCAGTGTGAGTGATACAGCGAGACTCCATCTCAAATAAATAAATAAATAAAATAAGTAGCCAGGCGCGGTGGCTCAAGCCTGTAATCCCAGCACTTTGGGAGGTTGAGGTGGGTGGATCACGAGGTCGAGAGTTCGAGACCATCCTGGTCGACATGGTGAAACCCCGTCTCTACTAAAAAAAAAAAAAAAAAAAAAAAAAATCAGCTGGGCATGGTAGCGTGTGCCTGTAATCCCAGCTACTCAGGAGGCTGAGGCAGGAGAATTGCCTGAACCCAGGAGGCGGAGGTTGCGGTGAGCCGAGATCGTGCCATTGCACTCCAGCCTGGGTAACAAGAGCGAAACTCCGTCTCAAAAAATAAAATAAAATAAAATAAAATAAGTAAATAAAATAAATCAAGGTTTCGGCCAGTCATGGTGGCTCACACTTATAATCCCAGCACTTTCAGAGGCCAAGACAGGTGGATCACCTCAAGTCAGGAGTTCAAGACCAGCCTGGCCAACATGGTGAAACTCCGTCTCTACTAAAAATACAAAAATTAGCTGGATGTGGTGGTGCACATTTGTAATCCCAGCTATTCAGGAGGCTGGGGCAGGAGAATCACTTGAACCCAGGAGACAGAGCTTGCAGTGAAACGAGATTGTGCCAGTGCACTGCAACCTGGGTGACATACCAAGACTCCATCTCAAAAAAAAAGGTGTTTTTGTTTTTTTTTTTTGAGACAGGGTCTCACTCTATTGCTCAGGCTGGAGTGCAGTGGAAGGATCTTAGCTCACTGCAACCTCTGCCTCCCAGGCTCAAGTGATCCTCCCACCTCTGCCTCCCCAGTAGCTGGGACTGTAGGCATGTACCACCACACTGGCTAATTTTTTTTTTTTTTTTTTTTTTTTTTGTAGATTCAGGGTTTCACCATGTTGCCCAGGATGGTCTTGAACTTCTGAGAGCTCAAGCAATCCTCCTGCCTCAGCCTTCCAGTGTTGGAATTACAGGCATGAGCCACCACACCGGGCCAAAATCATGTGTTAATGTGCCTATTGCATAGGAAAAGGAAGTGAAGAAAGTTACACTCCAAAAGGGTCACATTGGTTCTAAATCTTTGTATGGTGAGATTTGTTTTTCCATTCGATCTCTTTTTTTTTTTTTTTTTTTTTTTTTTTGAGGCAGAGTGTCACTTTGTTTCCCAGGCTGGAGTGCAGTGGCAACCTCTGACTCCTGGGTTCAAGCGATTCTTGTGCATCAGTCACCAGAATAGCTAGAATTACAAGCACAGGCCATAATGCCCAGCTAGTTTTTGTATTTTTAGTGAGACAGGGTTTCGCCACATGGGCTAGGCTGGTCTCAAACTCCTGTTCTCAGATGATTGCCTGCCTTGATCTCCAAAGTGCTGGGACTGCAGGAGAGAGCCACTGCACCCGGCCTTCCATTTGATCTCATTTCTAATTTTTCTAAAATAAACATGGATTATTTATGCAATAACAAAAAGAAATGCAAAAATGCACCCAAAAATGTGCCTCTTTTGAGAGGTTCCTAGGACACAGAGATTGAGGGCCAAGGCGCTTGCCATCTGTTTAGCTGTGAGCAGCGCAGGCTTCTCTCACTGCCTAGGTCATCTCAGTTCTTTGGCGAGATAGGCCTGCTGTTTAGAGATAGGCCGGGAGGGAAGCCCTAAGGCCCTAACAGTGAAGAAGCAGAACAAGTAGACAGCAATGAAGCAGCATCCACTTTGCCTGAGACAGCTGGACGGGGCCATCAGGCAGGACTGAGGGGAGTGAAGAGGGAGGCAGGGCACAAACAGCTGAACCTGACTGACTGGCGGATGAGAGGATGGGAGTAGAGGGGTGAAGGTAGGTGGTCCTGGCAGCCTTGTGGACGTGTCTGTTTGGAGACAGCAAAAGGATAGTGGCTGTCCAAGGATACAAGTGTCAGCAGAGACTGAGTATGTGTCATGGCAGGATGGCAATGCAAGGCTGGGGGTGTCCTTTAGGGTGGCTGGGCAGGAACAATGGGCTTCCTCTCTTCTCCCCTCAACTTCAGCTTGGAGGAACTTCACAGGCATCAGATGTGATTGCCTTGGAGACCAAGGCAGCGGCCACAGCACCAAGAAAATGGGCCTTTAGAGTTGGCAAGGTCGTTAAGAGAATAAAATGGGCTTACCTACGTTTAAAATAGGTAACAGGCGGGGGGCAGTGGCTCATGCCTGTAATCCTAACACTGGGTCGC